TACAAAGAGGAACAACTTCCTTAGTGCCTGGTGTAGCTTACAGAACTGCTAAATGTGCCAAATACACAGTGTTTGCTTTTAAAAATAAAAAAAAAAAAAAAAAAATATTTTTGCCTGGTGGCAGAACATGTCAGAAACACAGGCTGGGAGAAAATCACCACTTACATTGACATGAAGACTGGAAGAAACAGCTTTATGGGACAGCCCTGTATCTCTGTGCCAGCCCTTGGTTTGCTCCTCCAGCAACCTTTCTGAATGCTGCTTGGAGGGGAATCTTTAGTGTAATGCAGGCTACGAATGCCGCTTAGAAGCTGAGTATCAATTCAACTTTCTGTACAGTACAACTGTTCCCATGAATTACTTAAGATCAACAGTGACACAGAATAAGTAGTTCCCTCTTCAGCTCCAAGAAATGAGATTAAAACAACAGTTCCTTAGATTTGTGCATATATTTAAGGAAGTCTAAAAAAGGTCTTACAGTTCAAAGTGAGCCGTGATAAAATCTTACAGTACATGTCACTATGTGTAGTTTTGTCATGAAGCCTCCTCGAACCATACTGGGAAACTTGATCTGCAACTCTCTACTGTCTTAGTCTGCTGATACTTTGCCAGATATCCTTTCCCACATCTCACTTTTGGGGTGTATGCCTTTCATTCTACATACCAGGATGGAAACTGGGGCATCAGTGAGAAAACTTTTGTTTTTGTGTGTTTGAAGTGTTGCTGCACAGAAGGATTCTAACACTCAGCTGTGACAAAAAGCCTCAGAAATGTTTTACTCCCTAAGTGCCTGTTTTAAACAGTACTACTGCACGCCAAGATCAATTACCTATTTTCTGTTACCTTCAAAATAATTTATATCCATAAAGCCAAACTCATACTTGAAAAATTTACCTGGCAACTTACCATGTGAGCAGTTGTTGACATACTGTCCCACTGCCAGTGGGTTTTGCGGGGTGGCTGTGAGCCAGCTCTCATCACTCATTTGCAAAGGGCCGAGTTGATCTCTTCTGCTGCAAGACCTGAAATGCCCAACAGTGTTAGCATGGATCATGCCTCCTTTGCCTAATAGGTTATCTTTCTCTGTAGGAACAGCCACAGTCACTACATAAAGTTATAGCTGCCCAACCCATCTGGGGTGGAGGACATGTGCATAGACCAATACCTCTCACTGCTCTGTGGTGTCCTTCAGACTCTGGTGGAAGCACCTGCAGAAAACCACCACACACTCTTCCACAAATCAACATCTAATACTACCATTACAGAAGTGTCAACACCTTTCACTCATCTCTAAAAATGCAAAGATTTATTACAATATTAGTTTTAAACTCATTCCAGAAATTAAAATCTGGTTTTAGTTAGTATTAATATTCAAACTAGGTATTATTTTATATAATTGTCTTAGTTCTTTTCACATCACATTTAAACACAAATTGCAACAAATTATATTTTAAGGTAAATCGACCAGTTAGCTGTGTCAGGGGAAGTTCAGACTGGACATTATGAAAAGATTCTTCACTGAGAGGGTGGCCAGTCACAGGGCTCCTCTGGGGAATGGTCACAGCACCAAGTCTGCCACAGTTCAAGGAGCATGTGCATGATGCTCTTAGTGATACAGTTCAGTTTCAGGTACCTCCACAAGGAACAGGGAGTTTGACTTAGTAAAGTAAGCAGGTTTGAGTAACAGCTCAGAAACATTTCAATACTTTTACACTACATCCTGCTCTGGTAGAACTATTTTCTGTACAGGAAAGTATCTACATCAATATGCATCTCACTGGTCCTACAGATGAAGACACAAGTACATGCTGGGTCACATCCAGCATCTCTCACTCTTGTGCTGTTCACATTATGAGCAACGCACAGATGGACGACAATCATGTACAATTCAGGGTAAGAAACGGGGAACTGAGTAGTATTCCTGTTTTAAATCAGATGAGTGACGATCCTCTATTTATTTTGCTTACCTGTACACTGATCTTGACAGTCCTTTATCATTCCCATCAATAAGGACACCATCAATGCACCTAAAAATAAAGGGATTGCCAAGGGACTGGAAAAAGATGGGCTCATGCTTTCTGTATACTGTACCTGTTGCAAGACAGATATTATTTCAGAAGTAAGTTAACTGCCAGAATGGGCTTTCAGTCCCCTCCACACAGAAACTCAAAGCGCAGGCAGCGGGTGGAAGTCCCCTCTCACTTAGTGACACTGACATCTGGAAACCTACAAGCTTTCAGACAACTTTCTGGGATGTAAAAAATCCCCTCTCAACTAAATGAGCTGATACAGTCCAAAGAGAAAGATCTCACAAGAAATCATAGAAGGCCTGAACTGAGTATCTTTGGGAGAGGTAGATAAAGCCCCACAGCCAGCTAGTGCACTTCAGAGATTAAAACATCCCATGGTATTCGTTCAGGAAAACACACTTTAAGATACTAAGCTGTTTTATTAGTACTGAGTCAGGACTCTGAAAAACACACACAGATTCAGCAAAGAATCTGAAACCTATCTCTGCATTACCCCAGGGATTTTATTAGGTCCAGGAGATGGAAAATGACAAACCAAGAAAAAATTATTTCAGCACACTGTTTCCCAAATCTAAGGAAAGGATTTAACCTGCCACGACTTCAAAGCACAAGAAAGCAACAGCTGACTGGTTTGCCACTTTTCATGAAATTGCTGTACTGCATCCCTCACACCCACTACATCTTCAGCACCTCTCTGCAGAAATCATGCACTGCAGTCTCACAAGAAGCCAGGCAAAGGCCACAGGCAAGCTGGAGTCCCTTTACACAAGGTTCCATCTCCAGACCAGCAGGTTCCTTCTCTACCCTGAAAAGTCATTTCAGTAGCCAATCCTCTTGTTTTGCTGTAAGAGCTGTTACAGGGGACTCTGCATGAGCCTATGCTCACATCTAGTATCTGCCTGAAATTTGAATTAAGCTGCAAAAGTAGTAGGCTCTCTTGCTGTCACTTGACAATTAGTCAGTTCATGAGTAATTAATGGCAATGGCCAGGCACTCCAAAAAACACACTCCACTGCCCAGTGAATGCTTGGGCTGCTCCAATCCTGCACTGCTGGCAGAAGACAGAGGCCACGGGAGATGATTTTGCTGGCAGATGAAACAGAAAAAAACCCAAAGCAACTCAGCAGAGCTGCTAGCTTGGCCATACTGACAGAATTACAAACCTTTTTAAGAAATGTATGCAAATACAGTTCCAAGAAATCAGGAATAGAGAAGTATTGATTCCTCCAAACATACCTCATGGAATAAAGCTCTGCTAAATGAAGGTTTTATTTTCATTCTCCATTTTTTACTTCTGTACTTTGAAGAATCTCATGCAATTGTCTACTAACCTCAGTGGAGATCTCAAAACCTCATTTTTCAGATCCTGAACCAAAACAGAAACCCCAAGGAATTAAACTGTACTGCTGATCTACTTTAAATTTCTCCCTTGCATTTACATTTCAAGAATCTGGAACAAGCAGCTGCTGGAAAACCAGGCTTTAAGTACTAAAATTTTTTTATAAACAAAATTATCCTTCCCAATTGTTTTTTTGTATTTCCAAAATAACTCTTGGCAGTTTATAAATATTCTCATGCAGCCTAACTAGTGATTTTGTTAAGGAATGACAGAAAAAAACCCCATAAAATAAAAATTAGTGTATATCTCTGGCATTCCATGATCAGGTGGTTAGAAGTCCCATCTAACTTAATCAAAAATAAGAACATTCCATTACCAGGATACATAGACACAACTGTCCCTTTCGGTACAAAGCCTCTGGTAACAAAGACTCCAGTTCCAGCAGACACCAGGGAACTCCGGTCTCTGCTAACAGTGAACCCAAGTGTGTTAAACAAAACTTCCTCAGGACTAAATAGGTGCTGACTCTGATGGTTACAAGAATTTACTTTTGACCGCTTCTGCTCCACAGTAAGTAATTCCAGATATTGACACTTGACTTCTGGAAGTAAGGCCAGAATATCTGCTTGTCTACTGAAGTCATTTATGAACAGAGCTTTAAATGTTTTGAGTAGTGTTTCAAAGACGTCTTCATCAGCAATAATTTTGTCTTGACAGTTGTCAGGAACATATCGAAGGGTCCTGTAAAGAAAATAAAATACTTAAAAATTAGAAACATATATTACTTTCTTTTCTAAATAGAGAGGAGACACTTTGCAACACCAGTAACTTTGATACACTGTTGTTTTAGATAACCACAAGCTGTATTCAGCTTGTTCTAGCTAAAGCCACTGTTCGTAACACTAAAAAAGACTGCTTAGTTAAAACCAGTAACTATTCTACTATAAATCATCTCTGTGTATTTACCATGAGCAGGTTAAATCCTACTGAGCTCAGTGAAAACAGCACTGAAAATGAAACATAATTATCATGTTTATTAAAAAAAATAAAATACAAAGAGTTCATTACACTTCAAATGAGGCGAGACAAATATTGCACAGGCAAGGAAAGCTTAAATTTATTACTTATTTTAATTTTGTTACTTATAACCATGTCATAATAATTTAAATTCAAACACTACTTCTACAATTAAAATAGGGCATACACGTTACCAACAAGAAATCATCTATCTATCTATCTATCTATCTATCTATCTATCTATCTATCACATTAAACACCATTTTAAAGTATCTAAGAATTTCATGCCAGCCAAGGGGCGACCAATGCTGAAGCACTTCTGAATAACAAACCCGAGTGAGCTCCTGCGGCACAGCAGACCAACCCGGCGAGGGGCAGCGGGGTCTAGGCTGGTGCCCGGAACCTTTCCCCGCGCCTCACCTGCGCTGGCGGCGGAGGTTGAGGGCGAGCCAGGGCACGAAGCGGTACTTGTAGGAGCCCCAGCGCCGCCGCAGCTCCCGCAGCATGGCCGCCTCTCCCTCCCGGCCCCGGCACAACCCACCCCGGCGAGCCGCGCCCGCGCGAACTGGGATAACCAATCAGCGCTCCGGACACACGCCGGCGCGTTTGTGTTCTGAGCTGCCATTGGCTGCGAGCGGCCGGCGGGGCGCCGAGAGGCAGCCGGGCTGTGAGGGGGGAGCGGCCAGGGCCGAGGGTCAGGCCCTCGCGCTCCGCGGTAACGACGCGCAATACCCATAACTGCAGGTGCCGGGAATGAAAACGCATGGCTCCTGGGTGCACACGTACAGACCTAAATACACACACTTCTCTCGGAGCAATGTTACACTGCACCTTCTGTGTTGTACTGAACAATCCAAAAAGACAAGATCAGATTTAAGGGTGGTTTAAAAATTACCTAGAAGCGGATATTTAAGACTACTCCTAACACTGTTAGATCACCTCTCCAAAATCATCCAGTGCCTGTTTCTAGCGATGCTAAGGACTGTTAGTACCTCAGATGGTCACAGAACGAATTAGGTCGGAAAAGGCCCCTCAGACCGCGTCCAACCTTCGATGAAACCCCACTGTATCATTGTTCAATCTTCCCTTAAACATCTACGGGGACAGTGACTCCAATACCTCCCTGGGTGGGGAGGCCAGCCAGGGCCAGCCCATTCCAATGTTTAATCACCCTCCCTCTGAGGAAATCCCTCCTAATAACCAACCTGAACCTCCTGCACGGCAGCTGAAGGCCACGTCCTCACGTCCTGTTGCCTGGGAGAAGAGGCCAACCCGCACCTGGCTCCAACCTCCTTTCAGGCAGGTCACATCTGAACTTCTTTTTCTCCAAGCTGAGACTATCCCCAACCCTCAGCTGCTCCTCTTAAGATTTGTCCTCCAGAGTTGTGATCCATGTCATAAAAAGAGTGGCTCAGTTACAGACATGAGACCTGTTACACTTCTGTCCACACTTTTAACTAGTATTTGACTGTGATAACAGAGACATGAGTTGTACTTTGTAGCATCATAAGCTTCTGTAGATTTAAAGGTGCTTCCCACTGACTGATGTACACCAAGCAGCAGCATTAAAGTATATTAATGAAGATTGAAGGGATATACTACAAATCACGAGCATTTACAAACAGGGCCATAAGCCATTTTGGTGCCACATTCTACCATCACTTATCTCTAAGGTAATTAAAAAAAAAAAAAAATCTAGTGAGGAAAACAATCACTCAGCAATTGGTCTTCAAAAATTAGCAATGGTCCCCAAGTAATTCTCTACAAACACTACAGGTGTAAAGATAAGGGTACTGTTATCATTGGCCACTGTTGTCCTTTGCCTGCTTGGATACTTAGTTTCATAAAACTTTTATCTGTGGATGCTACTCCTTACCTGCAGCTCAGCTGAACACTGCCAATGAACTGGGAAAGTAAGAACATGTATGCATGTATTTTACTTTGGAAAGCAGCTAAAAATATATGAAGCACTTGAGAATTGGTTTTTGAGTAAACAGAGAAATCAGACCTCAAAACAGTCAAAGGGCTTACACTGCCTCCTCTGGACCTGAAATTTTGTCAAGGGTTTGGGAATTTGAGACAGGCCCGCCAAAGCAATGTAACTATCAGAATTAATTTCCCGTCTCAGAACTTTACAAACACTTAAAAGCTGTGTCCATAGTCACTTCAATTCTACTGCTGGCTTGATCATCTTTTTCAAGAACAGGAGCTGAGCGATGGGCTATTGTGAACTGAAGAAATTGAGGAAAAATGCAGCAAAAGGCACAGTGGCTACCAGGAAGGTGCTTCCCTGACATCTCCTGGCCTTCCTCGGTAATTACAGGGAAGAAAGATCTCACTTCAGTACTTTCAACTCTGGTTTCCGCAGCCGTGTGCTATAAACAGAAAACAACACACATGTCCACCACACAACAACACATGCATATTGTGGCTCTTAAAAGTAAGGCAGTCACAGCATGATTCAGGTCATTAAGGAAGACTAAGGAATGAGTGAAAAATTACTAAGGGAAGTAGAGAGCTTTGGGAGGTGGGCTGTCAGGTCACAACAGTCACACACACAAGCTGCCCAGTTTCCTGTGATGAAATGACATACGTGAGCCTTTGTGACACTCTAACAGGTCCTGGAGGCATTCCTTAGCCTCGAGTGAGAACTTGCAAAAACACCATTAGACTTTAACCTACGACCAGTATGCAGAAATGTAATTTTATTCCCACCAGAGAAGTCACACCAGGCAAAGAGCTTTGCCCTGTGGAAGAACTGAACATGCCCTGAGCACATACTTGTGGTTCCCCAAGTAGGCGTCTTTGAAATTTACTGCCATCTGCTGGGCATCAGTGATCTCTGCCATCCCTTGTTCCTGAAAAGGAGGCTGCAACATCACAAGTACAACACAGTACTGCAGGATTCAGAACTTCTGTAGTAAATCAGATAAAAAAACACTATAACCCATTTATCTCCTACTTAATCCTTGCCATGTATTTTCTAACATTTCAGGTAGTACATTTTCCTGATTTGAGAAATCAGATACTGGAATTTATTTGAAGATTTCTGCTGCCAGTTTTTTCTGGTGAATTGATGTATCTATCAGCAGAAAGTCTCATGCCTAAAGAAAATAATAAAAAGTGCAGTCCTTCGAAAAACAGAATTTATAGTTACAAGAAAATCTATAGTTGAAATCTGTTTCCATAAAAAAATATGAATTTTTAAAATTTCAAAAATATTTGGAGAAAAGACAAGAACCGAAACAAACCCTAGTGTTGCAATATATGGAATGCCTGATTAAGAAAAGGCTTATGTTTGCTATTAAAATCTCAAGCAACAGAATAATTTCAGCAGAAACATAAACCAAGAGATTAACTTCCAACAGACACTTTGACGGCTCTAGAACTGACTTAACCAGCCCACCTGACTAGCTAATTGCTACATTTGCAATAATGCAAAATTTAAACAATGCTTGTCTTAAAGGCATAATCAAATGAGGTTCATATATAACAATGCTGTCATAAGAGAAGTTTCTTCCTTTATCATTGATTAAAGAAAAGAAATTAGTCTTTATTGCCGCCCTTTATCTAAGCACTTTATTAATTCACCCAAGATATATATATATAGGCCATATATATTCACTTGTGTAATTTAATATTGGAAACTAATATTCACTTACTTGTGTAATTTAATATTGGAAACTAACTCTTGATATATCAAGTGTATGAAATGGTGTATAAACAGTAAACTGTAACAGAAATATTTTCATCAGTAAAGGAATGAGTTTGTCTTACAGTAAGCAAAGGACCAAGTTTGTTCAAAAACTTTTATTTACTATGAAGACAAAAAACACCAAAATACGTACAAATTATACTATATAAAATTGGTTCAATGGGGTAAAAATTTTTAATTAAAATATCTTGATATTTTTAAAATAACAAAGGATACAATGAAGCCAAATTTCTTAACCCAGAGATTTCTGTAAAATTTGCTTGCACAGTAAGGTGCTAATAGAAGTTAGCCCTTAAGCCCTGGAAGTCTTAGGAATCAGTCACATAGCAAATATAATTTCATTGTGAAAGTGAACTTTGGTAAAAGAAACTCTATAGGACACCTGAGGTAGTAGAAACTGGAATAAACAGCAGTAGACGTTATTTACAACTTAAGTACCAAATAACATTAAGAACACAAAAAAAATAATTACACAATACAATTTTCAGTCCAGCTTTGATCCAAAGAAAATAAGAATATTACATCACATCTCCATTTTAAAAAACACAATTACCAGCAAGCCGAGGGAAATGCAAACTCAAACAAATGCATTTGGACACCTAAGAGGCAGTTTGAGTTTGAAATGTGGTAGGTATGGTGATCTACATAGTAATACTGATTAGCTGAGGTTCATCAGTTTATACAGTTTACATTTCTGCCAGAAACAGTATTAATCTGACAACTGATCTTCCAGTACATGAATTGGCAAGAGTGCATCCTTTAAAGCTTGCACATAAGAAAGACTTGGAAACAATCTTATTAGAATGAAAAATTCTAAAGTGGTCAAAAAAAAAAAAAATCAAGTACAAAACAGAGCTACCAAACTTCACATTTCGGTATTATTTTTTTAACTCTTCAAAGTCTGCCAATCTTCAAAAACAAAGGAATGTAAAATTTCCAAAAGAAACACATTCACAACTAATGACATGGTTTTTTTTTCTTTTATTAGTATGAGCACTATCATTCATGTAAACTTATCTTTAAGATGTCTTGCTTCCAATTTGTATTTTACACTTTTAAGGTACTATAGCTTATTTAGTTTGTCCTGAGTCTTTGAAAATAACCAATTCTATTTGAGTCCAACAATCCAACTGGCTTCTGAAGAGTTATAACATGAACAGTATTTCTTTTCAAAATGGATTAAACACAATCATTATTAGATTAAAAAAGATCCCCATTTTTAAAAAAGCAAAAGAAAAAGCTGCCATTTTCCTTCAGAATTACATGCATCAGAATCTAAAAACCTGCCTTTAAAATAATTTTAAAAACCTGTTTAAAAAAAACCCCACACCTCCTAAAAACTGACAAGTTTTGCACTACAGGTGAAGCCTTACTTCACATTTTACTTTATCTTGATCTTCAAGTCGAAGTTTGTTTCTTGTTAAAATAAATACCTTTCTTATGGTAATATTTTTAACAATTTTCAAATTAAATTATCACTAATGGCTACAGTAAATAGATGATGTATGGCAGAAGGAAAACAGCAGGTAAAACTTGTTATCAGTAGAGAATGTAACCTCAGTTCTTTACACAAAGAATGAGATTTGCTCATTTGGCACCTGCTCACGCTGAAGTACATGCCAAAGTCTCCCATAAAATCTTTAAATGGGAGCTGGGTTTGGGGGGCCTTTGACATGAAACTTCTCTACACAATTTGCCAGAAGAAACTGCTATATGAAAAAAAAGGCTCAACAACTTCTAGCATGGTTCAGACTAAGTTGCTTTATACAGAACAATCTTGTTTATTAAATAA